GTTAATAATGAATTAGTTTGGAGGTGCCCCCTATCTAGAACATGCCATGGTCTGTTAGTTATTGCTGGTTTATAATGAATTAGGTTAGAAGTGACCCCTTATCTAGAACATGCCATGGTCTGTTAGTTATTGCTGGTTTATAATGAATTAGGTTAGAAGAGCTGTTACAATATGATTCGTACAGTTATATTAACTAAATTTTATTTCCAATAATTGTGATAAAAAAATGCTTGTTTTTATATATTTAGATATATTGTAAATTGCACTTTGAAATGAAAGAAATTATCTAAGAACTGATAACATATTAGGATATAGTTAAACTGCTGTTCCAAAATGTTTGCTTGATACTGTACCACTTTTACAAGTTACACTTAATCTGGAACCAAACCTCACAGTTTTGTAATTTTCTTGTGCCTTCTATGGGAAACTTATTTTTATGTTTTAAAATTAAAAAATGATCTGTTTTTGTTTTTTTTAATTTAGGGCTAATTTAGCAACTGTAAATAACTTGTATTTTATTGATCAATTTTCAGTTTCCCATGAAATAAGAAATACTGCCATCAGTTATGCTTATTAAATAGAGCACATTTCCTAAACATCCAAGTTATTTAAATCTATTTATGTTAAATAGCTATATTCCCATACTATTAACTGTAATTGTATTTTAATTGTTTTTAATGTTTTCAAAAATCATCTTTGTGTTAAAGCTACTAGTAATAATTGTGTGAAAAAAAGAAATATTGAATTGTAATTCTATGGTACATTAGGAGATTATCCCAACACTTTAGTTAACAGACTTTAGGTTCAGGCATGTTGTTTTTATTCAGTATATTTCCCGTTTTAAGGACAGAATTGTGTTCTAAGTGGGACCCTGAGTACTGCTGGAGCCCATATTTGTTATTATCACAAAGGAAATGATCAAGTGCAAGTGAGTAAACATTTTGTCAGTAATCTTGTTGATATCCAAGCTTCTAATTAACTCGTATCTATCTTAAAGCCCATGGATTGTGAGAATTCTACAAACAGGACAGGGTTGATGTCTTAGTTCAGAACATATGTTATGCTATTGCAACTGTGTATTAGTTTGTAAACTCCAACCTAGAGAAACAGTACTTAATGTGGTATGTGTGGTGTTATATTGCTAACTTCACAATATTGGTGTGTTTAACTAATGATGAAGTGGTTTTTGTATCTTTATGGATAGTTTGCATAATGAGTAGAATTTATTTGGACTGAATGTTAACTTAATTTATCAAATACTCTGGTTAACTCTTTCAACCTCGGCTAGTAACCATTTTGTGCTTGTTAAAGTTTTCATACTATAACTTTTAAATTAGTTAGCGAATGTTAAAGAAATTTGGCAGTTTGTCAGTAAACATTACAATGCTTTCATTCACAAAAATCTAATTTTTTTGTTATTAAGTCTTAAGGTTTGTAAAACAATGTTTCTATCATGCCTTT